TTTGGAATATTATGAAAATAATTGAGATTATTATGGAGTGGTTTTATGAAGTATATATTATGAAGTATGTATCAGTGGAAGTTTTTGGAGTGTTTGATCCCACATTATTGGAAGTTATGTTATCGTTTATGGAATGGAGCACTCGGTTAGGGGGAGTAGTAAATGTTACAACTACTCACATGAACAAGGTGAATTTGGTCCCACTATGTGCAATCTATGACCGCTTGAAGTTCCTTTTAATCAGGTACACTATTCACAAGTGGTCCAAAAAGAAATCGAGACAATTTTTTGATCTTTGTGCCATTATTATCTTTTGTACTGTCCAGTACTTATACTAAGGGCTAATTAATAAAAAGAAATTGATTCTCAATCTTTTGCCCAAGGTATTTGATACTAGAGTTTTACCAAATAAAATGCTAAAGGGGGAGATTGTAAGTGTAAAAGTATTTACACGTTAAACCTTATTGGCTATTTTATTTAGTAGTAATATTATTAGTTCTAATTAAGAGGTTAATTAGAATTATTAGTGATAATCTTCCTTTGGACCACTTATATCTTCAAAGTGAATTTGAGTGGACAATATGCATTGGCAAGTGAAGAGGAAGTCAGCAGCAAAGCATGAATGAAGCTTTCAAAACAAAAAAGATGTGGTTGTGATTTATTCAAATAAAAAGAGGCTAATATTAAGGATCAAAGTGGAGGCTTAATACTTGCTATAAAAAGAAGCCACACCAAAGAGGAAAGCTGCCAACTTTGAGATTAATATTCAAGAGCACACTTCTGATTTACAAAGCCTTCGATTTTAATGTATTTTATTATTTAATTCTGATGAATATTTAATCTGTACTACATGATCAGTACGTGGTACTGCTGAAGCATCTTGTGAAGATTGTTCGGGTATTCGTGTGTCAATCCTGGATAGGTGTTAGAAAGAGTGGTAGTGGTAAAGGCTGGAGGCCATCTGTATTTACCTCTTGTAATACTCCTTTTGGTGAACATCTATAGTGGATTGGGCAGACGTGGGTTGCCCCGCAGACGTAGGAGAAGGAGCTCCGAACTGCGTAACATTTCTTTCTGTTTTTTACATTCTTTATGGTTTTAGCTTTCATTATTTACATTTGCTTAAACAAGTTTAATTAATGAACGTAACTACTGCATAACCTAATTAACAAGTAAAAATACATAGCTTTTATATTTCAAGTGTCACGGTGCAATTTCAATAATAATAATAATAACAATATGAACGTAAGAATTAATATTAATATTGAATAAAACATAATAATTAATATATATATATATATATATATATATATATATATATATATATATATATTGTTCAAGTATAATAAAAATCATATGTAATAATAAAATAAAATTACAATAATAATAATAATAATTACAATAATAATAATAATAATAATAATAATAATAATAATAATAATAATAATAATAATAATAATAATAATAATCAAAACAACACTACATACAAAATAAAATTAAAAGTAAAAAAAAAAAAAAAAGGAGAAGAAGATGAAGATAAATGGCTCCCCTTTGTAAATGATGTGTAATCATTTTTATCCCACATAAACAAAATGTTAGGAAAGAGGAGCTCTTGAGGTCCTCTGTATAAAGGCAATGCTCCTCTTACAAACATAACTGCTTGGCCGTTAATGTGGGCAAGTATTAAGAAGCCAAAAAACTCTTATTTAACAAGTCTTAGCTTAAAGATTTTTTATTTTAATTTTTTTTAATTTATTATTTATTATTAGGGGGGTTGGGGAAAGATAGATTAACCCAAAATCTCTATGTGTCGTTTTTGTTTTTAGCAGTTTGGAGTAAAATTGCTGAGTTATTAAATAATATTTTTAGTGTTTTGATTAAAGACAAAATGTTAAAATGGCGAATTTGTTAAAATATTGACAAATTTGTCAATAATCAAACAAGGCCATTATCTAATAATTATTATTAAATTAACAAATTAATTGTATAGATATAAAAGTTCATTTGGAAAGTAAAAAAAAAAAATAATTTCTGAAAAATGAGTTATTTTTCAGAAAACATTTTTCTTTTTAATTTTTGACGGCACAGCAGAAAATTTTCCAAAAGAAAATTTATATTATTATTTTTATTATTATGTAATAATGTAATAATAAAATAAAATTACAATAATAATAATAATAATAATATTAATAATATAATAATAATCAAAACAAAAATATATACAAAATAAAAATAAAATTAAAAAAAAAAAAAGACAAAGCGGAACCACGAGCCCCCTTTGTAAATGATGGGGTATCATTTTGATCCCACATCAAAAATGTTTGAAAAGAGGAGCTTTGAACAATGCTCATCTTCCAAACATAATTGCTTGCCCATCAACGTCGACAAGTACTGAGAAGCCAAAAGACTCTTATTTAAGAAGTCTTAGCTTAATGACTTCTTATTTTACTTTTTCTTTTTAAGAAAACATTTTACAGACAATGATAAATACTAAACAATGATAAATAAAATCTTCAAAGTTATAGCACCGCATGTGTACATCTAGACATTAGCTATTAATTTGAGCAATTATTTACACAAATTCAAGCAATGATAACATAAAAATATACATAAACGATCCAAACTATATCTTTAATTGCACTATATAATATTTGATGTTCTAATTTGAATAATTATATATCTATTCAAATATTCTTAATATATTACAACAAATTCATTCCGTGCATCGCATGGGTGAAAATACTAGTAATCAAAAGAAGAATAATTAAACGAAAAAATAAAGAAAAAAAATTTAACCTAAATTTGTTATTTTTTTTTAAATGCAAGAAAACGATTTTAAAGATTCATGATTGATAATTTTTTATGCTCAACTTTGAATGTTATTTATTTAGTTGGGCTAATTATTTGACCAAATTTTATGTTAAATTTTATATTGTATTTTTTAATACACTTTAACATATCCGTACTATATGTTTAACAATTATGCAACTCTGATTGAGATGAGGTTCAAACCTAAGACCTTTTTTTTTTTTTTTATAAAAATTAATGAGTAAATTAAGAATAATAAATAGTTAATGGAATATTTCCTTACTAAAGTTTATACTAACGGAGTGCAGGGTTATTTAAGGGAAGAAATTAATATAATAGACGGTAAATAAGGAAAATCATAAAAAAAAAAACTAAAACCAAAATAATATGAACCATTCACTTCAACCAACAATTACACTAACATTTTTTTTTGTTCGCGTTAAGGGCCTAACTTCATTGGCTCTTATTAGATTTGTAGATATATATACAATTTTTGAAAAGTACATATAGAGTTTTGAAAATATAAATTAAATATCCAAGTCCATTATTTTAGGGGTGAAGTGATACTTACTTAGCTTATGCTAATTTTGAATATATCTTATTTTTGTTGTCAAATGATTTTTACAGGTGAACCTGAATAGAAATTCGAGCTGAATTTCACAAAACTAGTATTATTGTGGTATGATCATTTTTAGTCATTTATCAACAAAATTGCTGAAATGTCAATACAAAGATATTTCAATCTTTTTTTATACACAATAGGTTGTACTGCTATGTTTTTTAAGTTTATTTTTTTTGAAAAAATCATTAATCGAGAACCGATATGCCCTTGTATTTAACAATATTTAAACTATTTTGTTAATAAAGGACCAAAAAATATCATGCCACAATAATATTAGAATCAAAAGCGAATAATTTGATAAAAAATACTTAAAATGGAGTGTCACCAATAAATCTAAGACAAATTAAAAAAATGAAATTAACTCAAATATAAATAAAAAATAAAACTATTACTGAATTTAAAGTGTGCCACCCAACTGTTATCAAAGGAGAATGGAAAAGCAATCACTCTCTCACAATTTAAAGTGTGACACCCAATTGTTATGCAAAGATAACGGAAAAGCAGGTGCCACCAAATTGTTATCCAAAGGATAACGGAAAAGCAGGTGCCACCAAATTGTTATCCAAAGGATAACGGAAAAGCAATCACTCTCTCACTCTCTGTACGCTATCCGGTGACTTCCTTTTCATTGTTTCAATTGCATTGCAATAGTTCATATCTCTCGAGTCTGTTTGGTTCAATTTATATGACATAATCAAGGGAATGTAAGATTTAAAATATCATATTATTTGGTTCAAGTTATCTTATTTATCCAATGAAAATAACATTCTCTAATGAATATAACATTCCCTCCAGTAAATTTTGAAGGAAATTGTAATGACAATTTTCAATTTTGAGGATAACAATAATAATAGCTCAACTAGATATTTTAGATCCTATTCTTCCTAAGGCCAAATTATAATTTAATTGGTTAAGTTTTAATTGAGCTTAGTCGTTTCTTGGGCCCAATAATAATTGTATTTAAACTTGAGAAGTCCAATAGGGAAAAAAATCATATTATACTCTTGAATCTTAGTAGAGAAGAAAGGGAAGAGAAGCAATCGTTATACCGTGCACCACGGCGACATAGCACTGTGCGTCCCGCGCCTCTCAAAACGACATTATTTTGTTAAGTTATGTAGGGAGTTAGACGCGATTATATACATTATGTTATACAATTATGTACATTTTTTAATACAATTATGTACATCTTTTAAATACAATTATGTACGTTTTTTTTATACAATTATATACATCCGAAACAGAAATTTATGTGTATTATTTAAGAGTTTATTTGTATTATGTATTATGTTAGATTATATGTATTATCTTTTAAAAAAAGAGTATGTGTATTTTGTTATATAATTATGTACATTCTGTTATACAATTCTGTACATTCTATTATACAATTATGTACATTTTTTAAGCATGAGATTTTTTTTAAAGAAATTAATCGCGGAAAGCGGAATTTCTAAAAAAAAAAAAAACAAAACAAAACAAAATGACGTCGTTCTGCACCAGAACACACAATGCAATGTGCGCCCTGGTGCACGATATAAATTGTCAAAGAGAAGAGGCATCTCATTTTTCTATTGACGTGGCAAGAGGAAACAATCAAGAGAGGTTTTGTTTTAAGGCTCAACAAGACAAGGTAATTAATTTTGAATATTTGTTTTCATTATTCAGGAGGCATGGATAGAAGGCTCTGCTTTGTTCTTCTTCTTGTACTAGCTGCTATTAGCAGCTGCTGCTGTAGCGCCAAAGATTTAGCAGCTACTGACCTTAAGAGAGATGTCTCAGGTACTTATCCATTTTGGTAATCTTTCACTTCCATATACTGATAATAAATTCAAAGGCTCTTTTATACAATTAAGTTCTCTTGCTTGCTTGTGCCCTTTAATTTTATCTTTTGAATTCTTACTTTTATCGATTTGGAATATCCGGCCAGTTTCTTGAGTCATTTCAATAAATGGATGAGATTATGGAATACATTATATTAGTTTTTGCTTACATCCACAGAGGAACAAGTTCAAGTCAGCGGAAATGAAGATCAGTGCTCATTGTGTAAACAAATTGCATCTAACGTTATCACGTACTTTTCAGAGAATCGTCAGACCCTTTACAATCTCTGCAATGCGATTCTTGACTGGCTTCCACGGGTATTTTATCTGGAAACAATCTACTTAACAATATACCACATATAAACTACAACAAAAGCAGATAGAGAATGTTTTGTTGGTATGTTATCTGGTACGTTTCTGCTAGATAAGTTGTGAAAACTTAGAATGAGCTTTGAGTGATGGAAATTTACGACTGTTGATCTGCCATAATATCTTTAAATTAAATTTTCATTTATTGATCTGTTATTATTTATAACTTTCCTTTTATCAGTATTGAAAATTGAATTAATATATATTACTCCATTCTGCAAACAGTGCAGTAAAATTGTGGAAGAGATCTCCTCCTCAGACCCTGAAACTTTGTGCAAATCGCTCCAGCTCTGCGAAGGAGTTGTTTCCATTTCTCAATATGCATCCAATAGTAGCTGTGATTTATGTCATCGTGCTGTTATGGAGGCCATACAGAAATTGAAAAATCCAGACTCACAGGTATACTATCTATCAATGTTGTAAAACACATTAGCCACCCCCTAGGCGCCAAGGGGGCGCTAGGCGCCTAGGGCACCTAGGCGCTGATTTTTTATTTTTATTTTTAATTAAAAAAAATTTAAAAATTAGAAATTTTCAAAATTTACCAATAAAAGATAAGGTTCTCATAGTTATTTCTTAGAAACTATTTATGCAAGTGGTTGTAAAATTGTTCAAACAATCGAAATACATAAAAAAAAAAAAAAAAAAAAAAAAAAAAAAAAACCTAAATTAAGAGTTAAAGAAACATTTTTTTGAGAAATTAGTGGATAGATCTCGAAAAAATACGCCATTCGAAAAAAAATTGTCCAAAACGGACAACCGAATCAAAAGTTACGCCTTCGCAAAGTTTTTTACCAAAAATTCAAAAAAAAAAGGCGGTTTGGCTGCCTAGACCGTCTAGCGCCTAGGCGCGATTTTTGCAACACTGCTATCTATATATGCTCATATATTTTTGGTTCATATTTGTTCAAAAGAGAATTTGTTCAATCCGGCCTGCACTAGTTTGGTTCACTTTTATAATATCAAAATGCATATTTTCTGACCAATATTAGATGTATATAATGAGCTGTTTCAAGCAAGCAACTGTTATTTTCTCCTATTTCTCTGAACTCATCAGCAAGTCTATGTACACACACGTGTAAATATTACTGTAAGATTGAAATGGAAGATTTTATATCACTTTATCCGTGTAATATTTCAGGTTGAAGTACTTCAGCTGTTCCTGAAGGCTTGTGATTCTGCTAAAAATTTTTCAACAAAGGTGAGAGTTGTAATAAAATATACTCCGTACATAAAATGCAGGAATAGCATATGTTATTGATATATTTTAAGTATTTACATTTTATTCATGAATTCCCTAATGTATATATATATACATATATACACATCACTTAACAAGAGCCAATTGGAATGTTCATAAATTTTGGGTTGATGTGGCTTACTAGTCTCATTTTCATGATAAATTTGACAGTGCAAGAAACTGCTTTTCGAATATGCCCCTTCGATTCTGATGAACTCCGAGCAATTACCAGTAACAAATGACATCTGCACTTTGCTGCATGTTTGCGACTCGTCAACTCTTGGAATTGAGCATTCTGCATCTTAAGGAAGTAAACCAGTGGAAATTAAACCTTGTTCACATGTTGTAAACTGTGGTCTGCTTTCTTTTACAACCTTGTTCACATGTTGTAGACTGTGGTTTGCTTTCTTTTACAATCTTGTTCACATGTTGTAGACTGTGGTTTGCTTTCTTTTAGAGGGTAGCACCCTCACTAGATAGTACCCCAAGCATAGTTTATATAATACAAAACGTATTAATTGGCGTGTTTTTACAACACAAAACCTTATTAATTGGCGTGATCTATGTTTCCTCTTGTTGCCACTTCTCTCCTGGTGTGCTTCGCTGTAATTTTAGTGCTTTGGCTCAGTGCACTTGTCTTCCTTCCCCAAAAAGACAATGATAATAGGTATAGTTGTGCACCTTCAAAAACAGAACCGTCTTCTTTCCCAAAAAGACAATGATATTAGGCATAGTTACATTTCTCATATGTGTTAAATATATACTATAAATTATGTGTGTCGTTTCATTAATGACCAATGCGTGATTTTAATTAATTGACCAAAGTCCATGTTAAATTTTATACTGTACTTTTTTAATATACTCTAACATATTCATAGTATATGTTTAACAATTATGTCAATTTTGATTGGGATGAGGTTCGAACCTAAGACCTTCCTTATGAAAATCAATGAATAAGTTAAGAATAATAAATAGTTAATGGAATATTCCGTTACTAAAGGTTACACTCACGGAATGCAAGGGTATTTAGGAAAAGTAAATAAATGATATAATAGAGGATAAAGTTAATATAATATGAACTATGAATTTCAACAAACAATTAGACTAACATTTTTTAGTTTCCGTTATTAGCTATTATTAAGTTTGTAGATTGTAGATATAGTACAATATGGCATTGTGCATAATCTGGCATCAAGTTGCATATTGTTGCTAATATTGAAGTAAACCAATTTAGATTATCCATAGATGACTAATTCAAACCAAGAGGACAAAGATTGAAACTCGTGACCTTATTATTACAAGTGTGGAACTTTTTTTTTAAAACAAAAGACCTCCAGTAATGACTTAATAAATCGGCGATGGTCGGTGGGATAAATGCCCACCCTTTGAGACAGACTCAGAAACGGTTGCCCGAGCAAGCTCATGAGCCACACGATTCGCTATTCTCCTAACATTGGTCGCTTTAACAGTCCCCATATCATTAGCAATCGACAAACATTGCTTCACAATTAAACCTACATACGAAAAATCAACATTGCGGGAATTAAAAGCGTTGCAAAATCTCAAACAATCAGTTTCAAGCAAACAGTTGCTTCGGCCTTGCGTCTGGATCCATGCCAAAGCCTCTTTCGCTGCAAGAACCTCAGCTAGATATGGATCACTAACACCTTCAAACCACCCACTCTTCGCTGCAACAAAATGGCCGCCATGGTCACGTATAACCGCGCCATAGCCAGCACCAGTTGCGAAGGTAGGCGCATCGATTTTGCATTTGATTGTATTCAAAGGCGACGGAGTCCAGTTGTCAGTTCGGCCGGTGACTCCAGCTGATCGAGCCGTTGTAGAATAGGCTGTTTCCCAGCTCTCTTGAAGATGTTTTATCCGTTCACGAGCCTCCTCCACGGACAGAGATTTGTTGTGCCATATGACATCATTTCGTGTAAGCCAAACCGTCCAGAACACTGCAGCAAGCTTTACAGCCGCAGGTGTGGACGAACTTCCTATAGTGGAGTCCATGAAGTTGAGAAGACCTCTCCCCTGCTGAACATCGTCGACTTCCCAGAGTTGTCGCGCAAACATACATTCGCAAAGCAGGTGGTCCGTCGTCTCTGTCACGAAGCCACACAAGGGGCAGCCACCTTCGATCTACACCTTTTTCAATCTCAGGTTGTCGCGGACTGGCAGCACACCTCCACAAGAAATTCTTGATCTTAGGTGGGATCAGCAGTGCCCATAGAGCTTTCCAAGCCTGAAAGCTCCCGGGTTCCACGGGCTGCATGTCTCCGTGTGTGAGGAGTTGGTAGCCATGCTTAACCGTATACCTCCCACGAATGTCCCCTACCCACCTCCATGAGTCCTTAAAGTGAATGTTTACCAGAGTTGCGAGGACTCTTTTCACGTCTACAGCCAGGAAGATGTCACAGACAACTCCTTCATCCCACCTCCCCTGGTCGTCGAGCAAACCATTCACTCTAGCCTCCCACAAATGCTCTGCGCACAGGGTGCTTAGTGGTTCATTAGTAGATTCGGCCAGCCAGTTCCAGCCCCATATCTTCGTGTCTAACCCATCACCAATATGCCGCGCAAAGCCCAACTGCAGTACTCGTTGTCTGACCAAAATACTCCGCCATATAAAGCTCGGATTCCCCCGTAGTTGTGCCCCCATAAAATCCGTGGTGGGATAATATTTTGCCTTTAGTAATCGGCTAACCAAAGATTCCGGGTGAATTAATAACCGCCATCCTTGTTTGGCCAATAACGCTAAGTTAAATTCGTGTAGCTTCTTGAAACCAAGACCACCCTCCGGCTTCGGTTTACACATCCGAGTCCAACTCAACCAATGTATACCTTGACTCCCCGTACCGCCACCCCCCACCAAAACCGGTTGAACATCTTTTCTAACGTATCACAGACACGCAATGGCAGCAAGAAAGTCGACATGGTAAAGATTGGGAGAGCTTGTGCTATACTCATGAGTAGGACTTCTTTACCTGCGCGAGACAAAAATTTGTGCATCCATAAACCTATTGGGGCCTGCACATTTTCCTCAATGTATCTGAACGTGGCTGTCTTATTCCACCCCAAGACTGATGGGAGGCCCAGATAACGGCCCAGGTCTGTAGCGGCACGAACCCCCATACAATCAGAAACCAAAGTCCGCTGTGTGTCACGGTGTTGAAGCTATATACCGCACTTGACATCTCATAATTAATGAGCTGCCCCGAAGCCAAACTGTACATGTCTAAACAATCCTTAACTTTTAAGGCTTGTTGTTGGGTGGCCCTGAAAAACAATAAACTGTCGTTAGCCAAAAATAGGTGAGTGATAGCCGGGGCCCCCCGGGCCACCCTCACCCCATGAATATCCCCTCGGGCCTCTGCCTGTTGTAGAAGGATGGATAATCCTTCGGCACAAATGATGAACAGGTAAGGCGACAAAGGGTCCCCTTGCTGAATCCCCCGGGTAGGACAAACATGACCCACGGCCTCACCATTTACCAAGATGGCATATTTCAGAGTAGAGACACACCTCATTATTAATTCCACCCACCCCCTATCAAATCCCAGTGCCCTTAGCATCACTCCCAAAAATGACCACTCCATATTGTCGTACGCCTTAGCCATATCTAGCTTTAGCACCGCCCACACCATAGCCCCACCAGTCTTTCTCCTTAAGAAGTGCCCAATCTCACTGGCCACTATGATATTGTCTGTTAAAATCCTCTCAGGTACAAATTCACTTTGTGATTGTGACAATACTTGATCCAAACTCCCCTTCAACCTATTAGCTAACATCTTTGCCATCACTTTGCAAATTACGTTACAAAGTGCAATCGGGCGCAAAAAAGAGACTTTCTTCGGGACCTTCTTCTTTGGGATTAGGACAATGTTAGACTCGTTGAGTCCCAGTGGAAAACTCTTAGTTTCCACACAATTGATTATAAACACGGATAGATCATGGCCTATCACCGGCCAAAAGTGTTGAAAAAACGCCGACGACATACCGTCCGACCCTGGTGCTTTCTCAAGAGCCATACCAAAAAGAGCAGCTTTTACCTCCGTGATCGTGAACGGTTGCAATAGAGAGATGTTCATCTTGTCTGTCACACGGTTACGAACACGATCAAAGAGATCAGGGCTGCAAGAACCGGAATAGAAAATGGTTTCGAAGTACCTGAGGATTTCCGTGTGCATTGTCGTCCCTTCCACCCATTCACTACTCTGGTTTTTTACACGAATAAGTGTGTTACATCTCTGCCGTACCGTCGCGGCTTTGTGGAAATATTTCATATTTACATCTCCGTAATTCAACCAAAGCTGTTTTGACCGCTGCTTCCAAAACACTTCCTCTACACAGAGGAGCGTCACCAGCTCACCCTCTGCTGCCATGAACTCGCCGATCCCAACAGGAGTACGATCATCTTTTAGCCGTGACAATGTCCGGCGAAGCTCCTTCATTTTGTTGCCAAAGTGCTGAAAGTGTTCCCTACCCCACTTCCACAACCGTTCTCTGCAGACAGCAATACGGTCCTGGAAATTCTGCCCCATAGACAAACGCCAGGCTTCGTCGACCACCTTAGCACATCCCTCCTCCAAGAGCCAAGCCGATTCAAATTTCAATGATCGCATAGCTGCGCGTACAGGTCTCGACTCGAGATCGGTCGAGATCGCACAATGGTCAGACAAGAGTGTATAAATGTTACTGGCCAATGCCTCGACATGTAACTCCATCCATTCCATCGTTGCCATAGCCCTATCCAGGCGTTCCTCCACCCACGAGTCAGTCCCCCGGCCTTTCTCCCATGTGAAACTTCCCCTTGTTATTCCCAGGTCATTGAGTTGGCAATCCCCTAACGCATCATTAAAGCCTTCAATAAGCGATGCCGGATGCGGGTGAGATCCTCTCTTTTTTGATAAGCAGGCAATGTCGTTAAAATCGCCCACGACCAGCCAAGGTAGGGAAGATCTATCCTTGAGTTGACGCAGAAGATCCCATGTAACATATCGTCGTGCCCTGTCTGGTTCACCATAAAAATAAGTGAGCCTCCACGCCGGTCTCCCTGGAATGGTTACCTCCATGTTAATGTGATTGTTGGAGTAACTTAGCAAAGTCGTTGCGTCCGAGTCTCGCCAAAACAACGCAAGTCCCCCTCCCAAGCCAACACGATCCACATAGAACGCACCTTCAAAGCCCAGTTTCACACGCACTTGCTCCACCTAATTACCATACGCTTTCGTCTCCATCAAGAAGACGAATAAGGGTCGCTGCTTGGACACAATGCCCAAGAGTTCTCAAACTGTCCGGGAGCCACCCAAACCCCGACAATTCCAATAGAGTAAACTCATTGCTCTAGGCGAGCCTGGTCTACCATACCCACCTTTTCCAGGTTTTTTGACGATTCCGCCATCTAAACGTCCTCTGCATGCAAACCATCTGATCGAACAACCTCATCCCTTCTCCGTTTGAGATCACCATGCAAACAGCCATTTTTTTCCATAGCCACCACTGCTGCCAGGGGAGGCCCAGCGTCAGGGGTGATGGTCACTGCCGATGATTGTGATGTTGGTGATAACAACCACCGTGCCCCTACCGGTTTCACCTGACGCCTAGGTCCTGCCCGCATCCATGCTCCGAACGGGAAAGCGTCCGGCAGAATGCCCTGTTCGTAGACGGTTTTGCAAAATTTATCCGAATGACCTAGAACCCCACAACAGTAGCAGAAGGTGCCCAACCGTTCATACCGAAACATGATCCATTGAGATGCCCCGTCTCGCTGCAACAGCTTCTTACGTCTCTTCAGCGGAGCCGACACACTCGAGGATTACCTGTCATACCGGATGAGACGTATGTAACCCCGGAACATGGGCGTGTCTTGTTATGTGATCTTATTGTTGTCTGTTATTGCTGCCTTGCCTTGTGATCAGAGTCTGTTATGTGTAACTTATCGTTGTCTTGTCTTATAGTCATGATTTGCATGCTTGTATCTTGATGTGGTCTTAACATATCGGTATATATGATATGTCATGAGTCATGATTCTGATTTTAAAGCTAGAGTGTCCTAGAACTATATCTACGTATTCCGAAGTCTCAATACGGTTTTCCAATATTTATACTTATTGTACTCAATGGGTGCGAGTGGGTTACTTAGCATTATTCGCTATGCTACACCGCATGTTTTTCAGGTACAAATTAGTTGGCTTGTGAGCGCGCTAGTCAGAGCTGCGGTTCCTAGTTTAGATAGTAGTTAGCTTTAGTTGATGGCCTGTGAGCCACTTTTGTATTCGAGTATTGTTTATGGATTATGTTTAGTTAGTCAGCAGCCTGTGCATCTGGGTTCTCAAGTCTAGATGTGGCATAGAATCCCTACACTATTACGTTTAACTTTCGCTTATTCGGGTATTAATGATACACTTGTTTCTTATTCCGTAAGCTTTAATAGTTTTAACTTATGCTGAAAATTGGGGGTGTTACAAAAAGGGTCTTTCGGGCATGCTTTGTTGAGGTCGGTATAATCCACACACATCCTCCATGCCGGCGGCTTGGGCACCAACACCATGTTGGAAAGCCAGACGGGATATTTAACTTCGCAAATGTGTCCCGCTGTTAGTAAGGTGTCCACCTCCTGTTTCACAAAGTCCCTGCGGTCATTTGAAAGATATCTCCTTTTCTGAGTCACGGGCTTGAGGCCGGGACCAATTGCTAGCCGATATGTTATGATTGACCGGTCAACACCTGGCATGTCCTCAGGCCCCCAAGTGAATATCTTCTTGTAGCTCCTTAAACTTCGACGATCGCCTGTTTTACCAGTGCGAGCATGCCTACTCCAATCCGATCCTTTATCTCTGGCCAATCGGGTTCCAAAATGATTTCCTCCTACTCGACTGCAGGAGCCAGGCGTTCTATTGGTCATTCGACCACATAGTGTGAGATGGTATTTACCCAGTCAAAGCCCTGTCCCACCTTCCGATAGGCTTACAAGCAGCAATTACGAGCCATCTTTTGATCACATCGCACCACCCCAAAGTCGGTCGGTGTGTGAAACTTCATGCACAAGTGCTCAATGGAAATCAAGGCACCCAAGTCCTCCAAGCCTGGTGGGCTGAGTATAATGTTGTGCGCACATTCTAGAGAAACTACTACAAATTCCATCTCCAACTTCCTTACATGGGCCCTGGTGCCCATCTCTACCATTAACGAAGTACAACCCTCAGCCTCGATGGCATCGCTTGTGAAACCAGCTAGAGGGGTCTTGACTGATCGCAGTTGCTCCCTAGACAGCCCCAATTTTTGGAAAGCTTCCAAGTACTACACATTGACATTACTGCACGTGTCAACCAGTACTCAGCGAATAACCAACCCCTGGCGACCGCCAGGACGTCCCGATGGCGGGTGGGGCCCCTAGGTAGGTCGTCGTCCGTGAAGACGATCGACTCTCTACATGCTTTCTTTCCATCCAGGGGCGAAGGTACGTGGGTGGGTAGGGGGCCTTGGCCTCCCCCACCCACTCTACCTTACCCTACTCTATCCAAATATATTAATAAATACTTTGTGTATATATTTTATATTAAGAAAAAATTTACTTTTGCCCCCCTCAATTTTTTATTTTTAAATATTCTAATATGTATATATTAAATAAGTCCAAAACATATATTGAAATCCAAATTC